GGGGAGCCCCCGGCCACTGCCCAGCAATTGGATGAAAAGAGCAGGTTCATTTTTTTCAAAAATACCCTGACAACAGTGTGGAGGATGAACAGAACCGGGGAGGAGTCCTTAGCCCGGATGCGATTTGGGTTTCCCGAGCTTTCCCAGGTGAGTTTTGATGGATTCTGAGCTCTGGCAAGAAAGGTTGGAAAGGACTATCCACCCATGAAAATTAGTTTAAAGAAACGTCATCAAAGTTTGGTGCCTGGAAGCCGAGGGAGGAAGAGAGGAGCCGCGGGTCGTGTCCAGGCTCTAGGCCGGTGCTGTCCGACCAGGCCAGGGCCAGGAGCTGAGAGGTGAAGTGCTGGGCAAGAAGCAGAGCTGAGAGAGCAGGTAACGGCAGCAAATCTGGGCAGGACGAAGATGTAAGAGAAGCCATCGGAGTGGAGATGTGGGGTCGTCCTTAAACTTTATAAAACCAGTTTCAATGAGGTTTTAAAAAATATTTTTCAGTTGCAGTTCACATTCTATACTATGTTGTATTAGTCGCAGGTGGTCATGAAGCTTCGAGAAAAGATGGGACAGGAGCGTAATAGTGACAGTGCCCAGAGCTTGAGGAGGTGAAGGGGGGGGAGGGGGACACCACTTCAGTCCTTTAAAGAAAGGAGGACAAGACAGCTTAGAAGAAAAGTGAGAATGAGAAAAGAGGTTTTCAAAAAGAGAAGTTCGTTTTTTTTTTTTTTTTTTTTTTTTTTTTTTTTTGAATATATTTTAGTGATTTTTTGCAGAGAGGAAGGGAGAGGGATAGAGAGTTAGAAACATCGATGAGGGAGAAACATCGATCAGCTGCCTCCTGCACATTCCCTACTGGGTATGTGCCCGCAACCAAGGTACATGCCCTTGACCGGAATCGAACCTGGGACCCTTGAGTCCGTAGGCCAACGCTCTATTCATTGAGCCAAACCGGTTAGGGCAGGTTTCTGGGGTTTTGTTTAGCTTCTATATTTGCAACATAGTTGCAACATAGTTGCTTAGAGTTGCAGCTGAGAGGCTGGCAAGTCAGGCGGGGAACGTTGGAGTCCGCAGTCACTGGAGCAAGCAAGCCTCCCTGTTAGCTTCAGTGCATGGCTGCCGGCTGCCATCTTGGCTGACAGTTAATTTGCATAAGGATATGCTGATTAGCCAATGGGAAGGATAGCGGTCTAATTTACCATGTTTCTCTTTTATTAGTGTAGATAGCAAGCAGGCACTTCATATGTTCATACTGAATAAGTGAATGAATTAACTTGTTCTGAGTGGTGGGCAGCCACAATCTCTTCAAAAAGTGGCTTTGGACAAGTGCATTTACAGACACTAGTAGAATTATCTTCCCTCCTGGTCTTAGTTTTACTTCAGTAACATTTTACAACAAGGGCTAGCCAACTTTTTCCACAGGGGGCCAGAGAGTAACTATTTTTAGCGGCGTGGGCTACATGGCCTTTGTTGCAACTCCTTGGCTCCACTTACTCAACTCTATGGTTATGGTTAAAAGTAGCCATGGACAATACTTAAGTGAATTAGGGTGGCTGTGTGACAATAAAACTTTACGTACAGATACTGAAATTTCAATTCATTTCATTTTCATGAGTTACAAATGATCACTCCTTTAATTTTCGCCCCCCCAATCCTTTAAAAATGTAAAACGTGAGGACCTATGTAATACTTTCAACAATAAAGATTAAAAGAAAAAAAAATCCAGATGCTAAACAACAACAAAAAGTAAAACGTTCTTAGCTTGTGGGCTCTACAAAATTAGTGGTGGACAGAACTTGACCTCCAGACCTCGTTTGCTGGTATGTTTTAGAAAACTCCTAACTTAAAAAAAAAAAGTCTATTAAATACACACACACTATTATTGTGGATAACCATCCCCGCTGGAGGCTGAATGGAAATCATTAATATGCTGATTTCTGTCGCCGCTGCATCACCTCCCACAGACCGTAAGTGCAGCAGCCCGGGAGTGCGAGGGAGCTGGCTGCACCCGACCGCACAGCGATCCCCGGGCGGGACGTCGGCGGGGGCCGAGCCGCCCTCCGCTCAGACCCCGGCGGCCCAGACCCGCCCGCCCGCGCGGCCGCCGGCTGCGGGGCGCGCAGTCGCACTGCTTCCGCCTTCCACCAATCTCGGTCCTCGACGCGTTCCGTTCGTGCGCGGCGGAGCCGGGCGGCAGGAGAGGCCGCCGTGGCCGGGCTGCGGCGTGAAGAGCGGCGGGGCCCAGCGCCGGCGCGGATGGAGGACTCGCAGCTGTTCTGCGTGGCCGAGGAGCGCAGCGGCCACTGCGCGGTGGTGGACGGCAGCTGCCTCT